ACCACTACTTCTGAGATTACTTTTCTATTTTGCGACCTTCAGATTTTTTGTGTGCGTTGCTGTCAGCAGTGAAGTCTTAGGGCTAGTGGTACTTTTTAAGTTGTGCAAGAAAGAATATTTTTGATGTCAGGTTCCAAAAATGAGACTCTTCCTTTGACAGTTCTCTTACTAATAAAGCTGTCCAAAAATATCTGCAAGAAAAATGGAAGTACAAAAGGGCATGTTCTGAAGGCTTAAAGTGGCTGGCTGGAGGTCAGATGCTATGAGTAGAGGGATTGCAGAAATCCTGGTGACAACATATGGTGAAAGCATCCAGTCATGACAGTCGATTAGATTTCTTTATATAGGAAAAAAAAGAAGGAGCAGTATATATTTTTCCTTTCATTACTTGCTGGCTAATTGTGTTAATGGAAGACGATCTTTAATACCTAAGCTGTTTAGAGTCTTCTTACAGCTAAGACCTTTCTGATGGCAGTATAAATGCTATTGGACAACACGTTAGCTAAAGTGGTAGTGATAATTCTGATGCTAATTAAATGTCAAACTCTATTCTCAAAGCATATTTTTTACTGGACAAGCTCCTCTCTAACCTGGCAGAACTTATCAGTGGTAAAGCAGGTTGTTAGAATTCTGCTCCAGTTGAATTGGGGAGAGCATTACAAATGGAAGAGATAAGTACTGCTGAAAGATAATAAACTATCTGCAGTAACTAGCATTCGTAGTTTAACCTTGTCATTGGCACATGTAAATTAATGAGATTTGTATTTACCCCAGCACTGACAGGCAATTATTTAAAAAGAAAAAAAGAACTAAATATTTAACATATTCATATTCTCTAAGCAGAATTTGTTTTGTGTTATGGTTGGCTCTGGTTCCCTTACAGCATGGAAGTCTTTCCAGGAAAAATGAGCTGAGCCTTATCGGAGGAAATCAGCAGAGAAACAAGAGGTGCATTTAATTAACACTGGCACAGCCTTTATCCAAGTTCTCTGCAACCATGACCCAGAGGGCTACATCACTCTCACAGGTGGACTGTTGACATCATTGCTTGGCTCAACAGACTGATGGCAGGAAAGCTTCTGGAGTATGTGTAGGAAACCAGTGAGGTCATTCACTAGCAATGCTTGGGTGGAGAATTATTAGTTTTTTGTAGTAAGTGTGTTTCCACCCCCACCCAAAATGCCATTGCAGTTTGGTGCTTTCTCACATTCAGCCATGTTTCCATTGTTCTCTTTCATGTCACGTGCAATAATGCAGGCTGGTCGTAGAAGTAAAACCTAATGTCTTTTGCCTTTGTGAAGTGATGCTACCAAATCATTGGTGCAAGTAATATAACTGTGTTTGAATCACAGTGGGGTTTTTAAATATGTACTACCCTTTTCCAGCCATGCAGTGGAAGGTCCCTTTGAGAATATGTGGAGCCTTTGGAGCCATGCCAGCTCCCAAATTCTCTGAATGCACTGACATCCTTCAGATATCAAGGTATCTGAAGAAAGGTCAGTCTATTACAGAAATATTATTTTTCTCCCCATAGAGAAAGCAGTTCAAGTCTCTGGAACTAGTTCTGAAACTATATCCTCTGGGAAGGAACTCTTGGGGTGACCCAGTGTGGTTTGAAATCAGTTTACGGGAGCAATAAATCCCTAATTCACTTGTGAATGAGAGTCAGGACTGTCCTGCTAAAATATTGCCTGAATATTGTAAAGGGGGAAAGACCCTGAAAGTAAGTATTTTTATGAATACTTTTAGAAGGAAAATATTGTTCCCTGTTGAATTAATTTCTTCTTTCATAGTGGTTAAGAGCTTAACAAGTTTGAGGGTGTCCGTTGAACATAAGCTGGAGTCCAAGGCCAGCTGAAGTGAAATTGCACTTTCCAAGTGGTGCATGAGGCCCAAGTTGTCTCCAAACTGTTGTTTTGTCACTTCTCTCAGTCTCTCTTGTGGGACAGCTGAAAAATTGCTGGTGGATTGCCCAACTTGTCCTGACGATTTGTGTAACATAGGGTGATTTTTCAAAAACATAAGTGATGGTGAGGTTTATATTTGCCTTGTGAAGGGTTTAGCTAAAAATGCATTTTTGTATCATTTGCAAAGGATTAGTGCTCTGCTGGGTATTCTGACATCTCTCAGTTCAAAAAGTGTCCCTGGTGATGTGGCATTTGGCATCTGCCTTTGGTGTTGTATAGTTGCTGTGTTGTAGCAGTTCTCAGAAGTCCCCAAACAGCTAGTTGTAAAAATACTAGGTGCTCAGAGACTCTGCACGCTGGTTTTGAGATAACTGCAGTAAATATGAAAAAAGTAACAGAAAAGAAGAGCTATGAAGTTAAACTCACGTGGGAAATGTAGGTTGGCAGTTGTGTAGTTCTAAATGGAAAAATACTAGCAGGAAAAGAAAAGCCCATGCTCTCCTCTGCTAGATGATGTGCCTTTGCATTTATTACAGTAGGTGTAATCCCTCTCAGGAAGGAGGGAGAGAGATTTGCTGAATTACACAGGGCGCATCGTTGCTGTACAGTGACCAGGGGTGCACATGTGGAAATGCTGCATGATGTTATGGTTGGTGTAAGGCTGGAGGATTATTCAGGGTAGGGTTGACGGGGCAGGGGGTGAGCACATGGATAAAATCAATGGAAGTGAAGGTGAGGACAGTCAACTTTAGTTCCTCGTTTTTAAAAGCTAGAGGCTGAGAAATGGTTAGTGCAATAGTGGCAAATCCACCTGTGTTCCTTGATGGATTGCATGATGTGGTTGTGGCAGTATTGGGTTTGCCGGAGAGTGTCTCTGTAGATGGGGCAATAATAGGCCCAAGTGAATGA